GGGAGACAGAGGATCCAAAGCGGGCTCAGTGCTTGACAGCAGAATCACTGCTTAAGAGTAATGTCTCAAGGGAAGAATCCACCTATTGTTAAGAGACAAATGATAAAAAGTCATTGTTACCAGTAAGGAAACTACGAAAGGGGATTTTACACACAGATCTGCTTTTTAGACCTAAGTGAAATGAGGGAAGGGGAGAATTTTGTGGAACATTTTGCTAAACCTAAGGTAGTTTTTAAAAACTGTACTTTATGTAAAGTTCTGGTAATAGTTATGATGTCACCTCCCCCGCTCAGTCTTGACTCTTCCATTAAAAGTGAAAGATTACTACAGATACAAGCGCGTGCGTGCACACACACACACACACACACACACAAGCCCCAAACTAAGTAGGTCAAGAAGCCAGAAACATATGGACCTAGAAATCCATATGTCCTTCATATGGATTCTTCATTAAGGAAGTTTTATTTTGTGGACCTGTAGCACACCAAGTCCCTGGATGATTCTAATGAACACACAAGTACTTGCCCATAGTCTTAGAACAAAAGTATTTAATAAATACATCCTGAAGCCTTTTATTTACAGTCCCCAGAAGTGCTAGCAGCCTGAGGGTAGAATTGATGTCAAGTCTTGTAAGTGGCAATGGCTCCCTCCTCCTGCACCCTGGAAAGAATAGCTGCCTACCTATTGTCAGTTCTGTGTTGTAAGTGGTAATTTTGCTCTTGCTTTTCCGCCAGGTCCTGTAATAGGATGGCAACATCCTTCTCTCTATTGGATTGTGGAACCACTATCCCTGTGGTTCCCATGAATGTTTTGATTCATGTTTAAGAAACAGAAATATAATGCAAATAGCATTTATATAATTTTCATAATACAGTTCCTTTAACTCAGCATCCAAAATATCATTTATAGTCAATATAAAATTGAGATATTTTACATTCTTTTTTTAATGTGAATTCTCCCAAAGCTGATGTTTTTTAGACCCCAGTGCATGTGAGTTTGGAGTAGTCATGTTTCAAGTACTCGGTAGTGACATGTGGCCAGTGCCTACTGTATTAGACTGCAGTTTGGACTCTATGATGATTCCCGAAGTTCCACATATTTCTCCAGCACAGAAGGTCTATAAATGATTCAGTGTGCTTTACTCTGCCTTAAAGAGTGGGGGTAACATGCCAGGGCATTTGTTCAACCGGGAAACCAATGGTATGAGGCTCTGATCCATTAACTGCACCATTCTGCTCTGCTCCCAGAAACAAATCATTGTGACGTCCATCAGCCTGATTTGACTGGATTTAGTCTCTTTAACTCTGAAACAGATTGATGTGGAGCTGTCCTTCTGGAAATGCAGATGGCGATGGTGGGGAGTACCTCAAGAAATTAGCCCCTCACAATACAGATAAACTCCACTAGGGGGCGCTCTAGTCAATGGTTGCATAGTCCCCTATTGGGATAAATCACAATTTTATAACAATATATCTAAATCAGGACTTTTCAGTTCACGAATACCCAGTAAATTTTGGAAAGGGAAACTTTATGAGTGCAAAATAAAAATAAGCTTTTCAAATACATATCTGGCTGTTTGTTTACACAATCTCAACATGGCTTTTCTCTGAAGAGGTGTTATCCCTTTGGCTTGGCAAGGAGCTGGGGTCACTGGCCGACTGACCTCACAACTCAGATCCATCAGTCTCTACCATCTCTGTATCCTTGTTTAGTCATGCAGACACCTTTTCTGTTCTACTTTGTTCAAGATACTTGAGATCATGAGGGGGAAAAAGCATTAGGTTTTCTAGGTTTAGGTTCCAGGTTCCAGGGAGCCTAGAATGCAAATGACCCCACTCCCTCCTCCTTTTCCATTTTAAATTTATATTTAAGTGCCAAATAACAAATTTGCCAACTGGCTCTTTTCTCCAGCTCCTAGGAGGCTCAGAGCCAAGCTGGCAGGAGACTAATGCAGGAGGTCTAATGGCTTGGCTTTATAATCCTCCTCTTCCTGCTGAGCTTTTATCCCTTTTTCTAATTATTGTATTGTTTGCTGTTTATTTAGAAACCACCCTAACATTCAGGGAATGTGGTAGTGATGGGGGGGGGCGGGTAAAAATAGATATAATCATCTCTTCATAGCTTGTCCCAACAATTGAATCTTTCAGCTATTGACTCAGATACTAAGTGAAATTTTTCCTTCTAACAGAAGTTAACGGGGGCACATTCTAACTGGCTTCATCTGACATAGTGATGTGGCTAAGTCATACCATGAAAGCACCATAAAACAGGAATCATCTATCACAGGGCTTAACCAACACACAAGAGAAACACAATAAATATTTGCCGAATTATGAAAATATTTCAGGTTTCGGAAACCTCAAAAGTACTTGAGTTTGGAACACTCACTTGAACTACAAACAGTTGTTTTTTTTTTTTTTTTTTTTAAGAACCCAAAATTACTTGTAGTAAGTAACACTATAGAGTGTCTAGGTCAAAAATGGGATATGCCCATTCTTGAAATCAAATTATGGGGCCCTACCTACCTGAACCAACAAGAACAACAGAGTAACTGTGATATTGGGCAAGTAATATCTGAGGATAGCGACTGGAGTTCTTAAGATACTGCATTTTCAGTGAAAGCATAACGATTGGCATAAAGTTATATTTCAATCTCATCTTCTTTTGTAGTCCTAAGGAAAGATTCTCTTCAAGCCCAGCCTCCTCCCTTGGAGTTAATAAGCCCTCTTTGAACACATTTCAACTCCAGACTTGCTTCACTTCTCAGAGCACTTGAGCACAAACTGGCTGGAAGAACGGTCCTATTGGCCTCGGCCCGTCTTAGCTGTGCTCAACACGCAGGCGTGTGCTGTGCCAAGGAGGGCAAGGTGACTCTGCAGGACTGTGGGGTAGGCTCCAGCTCCTCAGCCCATCTTCTTTGGGGTTTACTAGACTCATTTAGCCAAGGTATTGGGCAACTGTATTGTCATCATGGAGGGGGTTTGGGGGAGACAGAGCAGGGAATGTTCTCAAGCCTGGCATCTGAAGAGCATTGCTGGCTCTTCCTGCAGGCAACACAGCACAGCAACAGCTGTCAGGAGTACACGTGGTCTCAGGGCAGGGCGCAACAGGCTCTGAGATTACACCTCCTCATTACCTACAGTAAAGAACAATGACTCACAACCAATACCCGGCCCATCCTTCCTTTCAAAAGCGTCCTTGAACATCCGCAGAGAAAAAGGGAGAGCTCAGACTGGTTTTTTTCAGGAGTAAACCGAGTACTCAAAGCTTACTCAAAGTAAGCTTTGAGATCAACCCAAGCCCAATAACTTAGCAGCTAGAACCTCACTTCATTTCCCAAATCCCTTGGCTAGTCATTTATCAGTCAAGGCCATTCTAAATTTTCTTGGAATGGGAAATTGCCAGTGTAGAAAGCAAGGCTTTCAGGAACCCGAAATGGTGCCGAGCAGGTTACAGGGCAAATACAGGGTAGCAATTTCCACACTCCATGTGGCCACTAAGAATGGACAGTCCAGAGACTGAAGGCAAAGTGCCATGCCAGACTCAGTGAGACTGAAAATGCAGCTGTTAAGACAAGGAATGTGTTGTTGTCTGGAATATCCATAAGGAGAAATTCTATATCCTTGACAGGCAAACCAATATATACCTTTTGATTTTCTCAGGTATTATATTGTGTGCACAAGTCACTTACGTGACTTACACCCCAAAATGTTTTGATGTTTTTGCCACTTTTAACACCTCGCTAAATCATTCAAGTGCTGACCCAAGACCATCTTTTCATAGATTTCACTGGAAATGTCATTAAGATGCCAGAAAAGTTAAGTTTTAAAAATCACATTTATTGAAGTGTAGTTTACATTTAGCAAAACACACCCCTGAAATTTGACAAATGCGAGTGCCACCATAATCAAGATATAAAACACTTCCGGGCTCAGTTGGTTAAGTGTCCGACTTCAGGTGAGATCATGATCTCAATGTTTGTGGGTTCGAGCCCCGCATTGGGCTCTGTGCTGACAGCTCAGAGCATGGAGCCTGCTTGGGATTCTGTGTCTCTCTCACTCTGTGCCCCTCCCCTGCTCACACTCTGTCTCTCTCTCAAAAATAAATGTTTTAAAAAAAGATATAAAACACTTCTTCAAAACTCACTCATGCCCCTTTGCAACCTACCCTTGCTGATCGTTACTAAGCCATTAATCTGTTTTCTGTCAAAAGGATCAAATTTGGGGCGCCTGGGTGGTGCAGTCGGTTAAGCGTCCGACTTCAGCCAGGTCACCATCTCCCGGTCCGGGAGTTCGAGCCCCGCGTCAGGCTCTGGGCTGATGGCTCGGAGCCTGGAGCCTGTTTCCGATTCTGTGTCTCCCTCTTTCTCTGCCCCTCCCCCGTTCATGCTCTGTCTCTCTCTGTCCCAAAAATAAATAAACGTTGAAAAAAAAATTTAACAAAAGGATCAAATTTAATCGCTGAAATAATGTATTATGGAAAAATTTGTATGCATATAATATTATTATTTATTAAAAAAAACTGTTTTAAACATTTATTTATTTTTGAGACAGTGTGAGTGGGGGAGGTGCAGACAGAGAGGGAGAGACAGAATCTGAAGCAGGCTCCAGGCTCTGAGCTGTCAGCACAGAGCCCATGAGGGGCTCGGACCCACGAACTATGAGATCATGACCTGAGCTGAAGTTGGATGCTTAACTGAGAGAGCCACCTAGGCACCCCTGAAACTGTATTTTTAAAAGGATGCTTTGAAATGTATCTTTAGGGCAGTCAAAGGAATAGGATTTAAAAATAATCTTTGCAAATTAAGGCACAAGTGACAGTGTTGTTAAGACAGTTGTAGAATAGTCTAGTTAGTTACTATGTCAAACTTCAGGCTAGGGCTGTTGGCAGAAAGGCTAAATAATAGAACAGAATTCTACAAAGTTCTCTATGGTGCTGGTAGATATATGTTCTTACAGATATTTGGCACCTTCTCAAAATTCACCCCTGCTACTACCATGAAAGGGACAAAGAGAGCAAAAGCCTCTATTCAATCACCATATGTTCAAATACACTGTATCTACTTGAAAAGCTTCTTTCAAACACCACGATTGTCTTTCGAGCACCAGACCTGTAAAAGAAGTATCACAACAGGTAGTTAGATCGGCAATTATGAAATAAGATGTGCTATTAAGAAAATAAACAGTGGTTTCTAGACCATGTTTACACAAGCTGTGCAGCAGGTAAGTTAATAGAATTCCCCAACATACTACGCATTGTCAACTCAGACTTAGTAATGTTCTCATAAAAAAGTGAATTTTTAACTCAAACCCTATCTTACTAAAAGCTCAAAATGGTCACCGTAGGGAAAGATACTTTGAAAGATTAAATGCCAATTACTTAAAAATCCATTAAAAATAACCTTTTCTTGGCATAATAAAGTACTGCCTATTTATTACAGGCTTTCCCCCCTTCATATCTAAGACATACTTTCTAAAGGGAGGAGGGATGTGACTGCAGGTAACTAATTCCTATGAAGTTGGCCTCAGGTAAATCCTTTAACCCATCAGAGAAGCATATCCAATCAGATTAAGAGTCCTCATCCTTGGCCAAGAATTCGATTCAGCTATTTAATAACAAATTATCTCCATTTGGTCCATACCTGAAGTTCATCAGCATCTTGAACTGGACTGTGCCTGATAGAAAAGTGAGAAGAACAACGTTAAGAATATCAATGAACTCTTTATGATTTGGGTTTTTTTGTTTGTTTGTTATGTAAAGAGCGTCTTTTATTGTGGTTACCTACTAGTTACCTCCAAGACTAAAAAGCTACCTTTGAATAGAATTCCCATATAAAGGCTTTCTCCAAATTTCCTCACACTTGGGAAATCTCCTTGGTAATTTCCAGCCAGGAGTAAAATAGAACAGTGAATTAAGTTCCTATCATCTGGAATTCTATGTAATATAATGTCAGCACCCACGACATGTCCAACTTGACCCTTACATTAGCATGGAACAGTATCAGTTTTAGAAAAAAACAAAACAAAACCTGAAATGTTACTGGCAACAGTTTGTACCTAGGAAACACTAAAACAAGCTCTAAACAGATTTAAAAACCAAAGGAAGCCTGAAACTTGTTGACCACGCAGAAGCAGACAGAGCCCAGCAAGTTGAGAACAGTTCTCGGCACTTGCTCAGTTTCCACTACCCTTAAATAGACACTGGCTCAAGCTGCTGTTTCCTCGTCATGGTGCCTGGCTCCCTCAGCCCGTGTTTCTCTCTCACATGGAACTGTTGAAACAGTTTGGCTCAAGAGGAACCCCCCACCACATAAAGCAATTGTAAACCAAAGCCTGACCATTACATTTCCCCGTGTTGCAGTGCTAGTCACCAGACTGAGGGACTCAGGACAGGGAAATCTGTCCCTGTGCTCTGGGGTAATAGATATGGCTGGAAAAGGGATGCCTACAGCACAGCTTGCTCCCCCCGCCCCTTTAAAAGCACGATAAAATGGGATGTCCCATTCAGTTTCCTGGTGAGTAATATCAGTTATTTCCTAATAGGTAAAAAGGTCTTTCATAACTCTACGGGCAAACATGTAACCCCCAGAAGCCTCACGTTTCAAGAGATTACTAAGTGATACTTAGGATATCTACAAAGATTCCTTCATTCACTCAACTCTAAATTTAGATCTTTACAAAGTTTACTAAATCCGGAGAACAACCGTTTCTATAGCATGGGTGCCAGCGTCTTGGTGGACACAAATCAGTATCCCAATGGTTCATTTTTTCCCGGGACAGAAAACCATGACGGGCTTCGCACCCTGAAAATGTTGGAAGAGGGTCCTGCGCTGCATACGGTACTGGTCGCTCCAGAAAAGGTGAAATCTGGGGCAGAAAACTGCAGGCAGGACTCACAGCAGTTATCATCCCCCGCAAGACGAACCCCAGACCTTTCAAAAAGCCAAACCACCCTGAAAAGTGGCAACTGAAAGGCATTTGTGGGGAGTGGCTGTCAGAGCGCAATTGCCGCCGTTTGTTGCTAGCACACTAATTAAGCTGCTCCGCACGCAAAGTTAAAGCGCTCAGACCCACGATCTGGCTCATTTTCCAAACTGGTTACGTCGGGGTCATGGTAACACCAGGCAGGCGGGAGCCCGGAGCGAGCCAAGAGCACCGACTCCGACCCGGTTGGGCGCCTTCCGCCCCGCAGCTGCGTTCTCCAAAAGTTATTTTTTCTTTGAAAAGGGCACTTGAAACTCCCAGTGGCTTGGAGCCCTTGAGCATCGAGGCCACAGGCACCAGAGATGAGGGGACCAGGGGCGCGGTAGGCTGGGGGCCGGCGAAAGGCGCCACAAGGGTGCTTCCCAGGAAGTAAGGGTCCCTGACTCCACGAGGACGTCCTCACCCCAGAGGAGCCCTCATGGGGGCTCCTTCCCCGGGATCGGGGGCCTCTCCCGAGGGGGCGCCAAGCTGAGGCCGAACCCGCGTCATGGACGCCCGGGCGAGGCGAGCACAGGGACCCAGGGAGAGACCCCAGACCACGTGGCCGGTTCCGGCGTCGGGCCGGTCCGAAGACACTCACCGAGTCGCACACCGCGTCGGAAAAGGGAAGGCGCTGGAGAGACGAAGTTTAAAAGGGGCTTGGGCGGTCGGCACCCCGAGACAACCAACCAAAAATTACCCCCAGCGCCCCTCCCGGCCTAGTAACCGCCCAGCCTGCGCCGCCCAGAGGCTCGCGCGCGCCCCCTGCAGGCGACTCACGTTCCCTAGCCCTGGCCTCGGAGCCGGCGGACTCAGCACGCTTGCCTGAACACCTCTCTGTGTGGGTGTTCATTTAGACCACGCTGCAGGTTTGATGAAGCTCCTGGCATCAAATCAAATAGTGTTAGGTATGTAACCGCCTGCCCCGCCCCGAATTCCATGCCTTCCCCCAGGGTGGTCTGCAAGTCAAGAAAGCACTGCCGGACAGGACCCGCAGTCTCCAGCCTTGTGCTTATGTTGAGTTTTATCCTTAATTTGTTTTTCGAATTTTGAGATTTGAGGCTTCCTAAACTGGGGCACTTGAGATTATTTTGGTTGGAGGGACTGTTTAGTATGATAGGTATGTTTTGAGTGTTTACTGTGCCAGGCAATGTGATTGGTGCTGGGGGGTATAAAGTGGAATGAGAAACTGCACCTGCCCTCAGAAAACATAGAGTGACGTTCAATTGTTGATAGAAGCCCACTCACTGTGCCCATGGCACAGCGCAGACCACTGAGCCCAGCCTGCTAAGGGGTCAGGGAGGGCACCTTGGAGGAGGGGTACTGATGGTGCGTCTAGCATTCCCAGCAGGAATCTGACTGCACCTCGAATATTGGAGAATACTTGGTAAAAATCAAAGAGGCCAAGAGAATTAAAGAGGAAGTATAGAGTAGAAGTATTGAGTAGAAGTCAGCTAGAGTTTTCTCTAGTGGAGTAGAGCCAGCCTTAGGGTGATCTCCAGAAGCTGAGTTGTCATGATGGTGGAATGTAAGCTCCATAAGGACTCCGTTTCCTTCTCTGCTGGCTCCCCAGAACTGAGCATAGTGCCTGGAATATACTTGGGTCAGGAGGAAATTACTCCAGGAAAAGACATTCGCCATTTATCCCCCCAAATAGTTGAGTATTCATGCTATCAAACTCTTGAAGGCTCATAACGGTGGTAGTGATGGGGTCTTATCCTAGGCTGTAACTTTCCTGGGTCACCTTGAATGTGAATTTATCTCTGCATTTCCGGTACATGGCCAAGGGCTTGGTGTGCTGTAAGGGCTTGATAAAACACGCTGAATTTCCTTTCCTGGCATGTATTTGGCCTGTCGTTCAAACACACTTATAGAGAAGGTATCCTGGGGCCTCCGGAGGTGTTGGGCATTTCTCTGGCTAGTTTTGCTGCTGCTAGAGGGGAACCTTATCCCCACCACCGCCATGATTCTCTGTGGAGAAACTTCTGCTGGATAATGCCGCAAACCTCTACCTATCCTTTTCTCATTCCTTTTCAGAACAAGAAGGAATTTCAATAAAATCCAGTGTTAATATGAATTTTGAGAGCATGCAAATTAGGGTAGGCTTGTTAACTTTCATTCTCTACCTGTCCTCTGTTCTCAATGGAAGAGTCTAAGATTCTTCTCTGATGGGAGGGGAAACAGGGGCTAAGAAGTGACCATTGGAAGCCATTGAGGGTTTTCTTGGTTCAGTATACAATCAATTGGGTACATTGTAAGTGTCATTACCTTTACTTCTGTGCTTTCTTTATAGTCCTAACTAAATGAAAGGTAGTATTTCTCTGTAACCGTGCAGTAATGATCCTGCATTTTACACATTTAAAATTTTTGGCTCCCAAGTATGTCATGGCAGATAACATCCAGTGGCTCATTCTCTTCAAGGAAGAGCAAATCCATTAGAAGGCTATAAACTGAAGATTCGTGTTTTTTCTTCCCTCACTGCCCAGGATCAGTGTAAGGGAATGGTGACTCAAGGTCTAGACTGGGACCCTGAGAAGAACAGACTAAACTCTGAAGAACTAACATTAGTAAATATTAGTAGTAAAGCCAACACTTCAATTTCCATTCTGTGTTTTATTCTGTGTTGGTTCTGGATGCAGAAGGGGCAGAAAGCAACTTATTTATCACCCTCCTCAAACCCTGCAATTGCCTGATCCTATCCCCAGGAGATCCCAAGTCTTACTTGTTCGCAATGAACTGACATCAGACACAGATCTAGGGTATTTGCTTTCACAAATTAATTGGCCCATTCATTTACTTTCATCTTTGTGTTGAATGCATATTTTATTGTGTTGGAGAGTCAGGAGATAAAGCAATTGCAGACATTATTTATGATTTGAATGATTACTCTAGTTGGGTAACATTTTAATTGGCATCATTGGGCCAGTTGCCACATGCAGGTCTCTGCCTATCAGCCTACCTTTTCCAAGCAGCTGTAGGCTTGTTTTTAAGCCAAGAGAGAATGTCTGCGCCCACTGAAGTTTATTGGTTTCATCTGCCTAAATAAACTTGTGTGGCTGATTTTGGCAATTAAAAGGTGTACTTGTACATGTCCTGGAAGCACTGGGATATAGATGCACTTGTTTCTTTCCCCACATGGTTACAAAACAGACTATTAAAAAAAAAACAAAACCCTTTTAGGCTGGATGGCGACATGCAGAAGAATAAAACTGGACCACTTTCTTACAACATACACAAAAATAAATTCAAAATGGATGAAAGACATATATGTGAGACAGGAAACCATCAAAATCCTAGAGGAGAACACAGGCAGCAACTTCTTTGACGTTGGCCATAGCACTTCTTATTAGACACATCTCCGGAGGCAAGGGAAACAAAAGCAAAAATGAACCATTGGGGCTTCATCAAAATAAAACAAAACTTGTGCACAGTGAAGGAAGCAATTAAAACTAAAAGGCAATCTACAGAATGGGAGAAGATATTTACAAATGACCTATCTGATAAAGGGCTAATATCCAAAGTCTATAAAGAACTTTTCAAACTCAACACCCCAAAAATAAATAATCCAGTTAAGAAATGGGCAGAAGACATGAACAGACATTTCTCCAAAGAAGACATCCATATGGCTAACAGACATGTGAAAAGATGCTCAACATCACTCCTCATCAGGGAAATACAAATCAAAACCACAATGAGATACCACCTTACACCTGTCGGAATGGCTAAAATTAACAACTCAGGAAACAACAGATGTTGGTTGGCAAGGATGTTGAGAAAGGGGAACCCTCTTACACTGTTGGTAGGGATGCAAACTGGTGCAGGCGCTGCGGAAAACAGTATGGATTAAAATTAGAACCACCCTGGGACCCAACAGTTGCACTACTGGGTATTTAACCAAAGGATACAAAAATACTGATTCAAAGGGGGCACATGCACCCTCATGTTTATAGCAGCACTATCGACAATAGCCAAATCATGGAAAGAGCCCAAATGTCTATCAACTGATAAATGGATAAAGAAGATATATCTTGTGATACACACACACACATACACACGCAATGGAATATTACTGAGCCATCAAAAATGAAATCTTGCCATTTGCAACAGCATGGTTAAAACTAGAATGTATTATGCTAAGCGAAATAAATCAGTCAGAGAAAGGCAAATATATGATTTCACTAATAGGTAGAATTTAATAGTTCTAATCCACTAATAGGTGGATGAATATAGGGGAAGGGACAGAAAAATAAGATAACAACAGAGAGGGAGGCAAACCATAAGAGAGTCTTAGCAATAGAGAACAAACTGGGGGCTGCTGGAGGGGAGATACGTGCGGGGATGGGCTAAATGGGTGATGGGCAGTAAGGAGGGCACTTGTTGGGATGAGCCCTAGGTGTTATATGTAAGTGATGAATCACTGAATTGTACTCCCAAAACCAATACTATATTACATGTTAACAAACTTGAATTTAAATAAAATCTTGGAAGGAAAACAAAATCCCCTTTCAGGTGTGTTACTTACAAACTTTGGCATTGTTCACAATACTTCTAAGAAGTACATGAATAAATGTATAAAATAGAGTTCTACTTGTTTACATTTCAACATATCCAATGTATTACCTTTATTGCTAAGAATGATCTGGTTTGTTGTAAAGCAAAGAAAATAAAAACATTCTTTACTTTAACTCCACATACTTCTGTAGGTCTTTGTTTCTCTTTATAGTGCAACTCCTCAAAAGCGTTGTCTATATTGGTCTTTAATTTGTCTCCTCCTTTCATTTCTCAATCTAATTATATTGGTCAGCCTCTGAGATGGTCTCCAATTCCCTCATCTCCTGTTATTCATGCCCTTGTATAGTCCCCTCCCCTTCAGTGTGGTCTGGACCTAGTGAATTTCTTCCATTGAATAGAATTGAACATAAGTTATAGGTCGGCATGTGGAGAGATGCCCCACACCATATGTCATTAGGGAATTGCAAATTAAAACAATGAGACATCATTATGTATCTACTGGAATGGCTAAATTCCAGACGGTGACAATATCAAATGTTGGTGAGGATGTAGAACATCAGTAACTCTCACTACTGGTGGAAATGCAAAAAGACATAGCAATTTTGAAGGACAGTTTGGCAGTCCTTACAAAGCTAAACATACTCTTACCATATGATCCAGCAATCATACTCATTGGCATTTCCCAAAAGGAGCTGAAAAAACTTATATCTGCAAAATAACCTGTACATGGATGTTTATCATAACTTTATTCATAATTGCCAAAGCTTGGAAGCAACCAAGATGTCTTTCAACAGGTGAATGGAATGTGGTACATACAGACAATGGAATATTATTCTGCACTAAAAAGAAATGAACTATCAAGCCATGAAAATACATGGAAGAAACTTAAAGGCAAATCTGAAAAGTTTATCTACTATATAATCCCAACTATATGACATTTTGGAAAAGACAGAACTATGGAATCTATGAACAGATCAATGGGTGCCAGAGGTTTGGGGGAGGGAGGATGACTAGCTGGAGCACAGTGGATTCTTAGGGCAGTGGGACTGTTCTATATGATATTATAAAGGTTGATACCTGTTATTAATGTATTTGTCAGAGCCCATAGAATGTACGACACAGAGTGAATCCTAATGTAATGGACTTAGGTTGATAATGATGTGTCAGTGTTTGTTCATCAACTGTAAAAACTGTTTTGCACTGGTGGGGAATGTTGGTAGTGTAGTGGGAAATCTCTCTAGTTTCTGTTCAATTTTTCTGTGAACCTAAAACTGCTCTGAAAAATAAAGTCTTTTTTAAAAACCGATGGGATGTCACTTCAGAGATTGTGTTACAAAAGACTGGAGCTACCATCTTGGGCTGCTGTCTCTTACCTTTTCTCTCTTAGAGTCTTTGC